CAAAAGTCAGTAACTCGGCGCTGTCGCAAGGCAGACAGAGTGGGGTGTCATTGATAGATCGACAATTTGAAACGGTGACGAGCTAAGATGTTGAAGCAACCCGGGGATTCTCACAAGACAGGGCAGATGCTAAGACACAAGTCGGTATTTATCCAGATCATGATCTTCTTATGATCAACATCAGGGCGATCGGATTGACAAGTGCGCCTCTACTAGCTGGTGTCGAACATAGAAGTTGACGGATATCGGGGTTACAACATGGTAAGTGTTCAGAAAATTCAAAAATTTCACAAATTCTGAAAGTATTGCGGCATTGTGTAAGTGAATACTCTAAAATGTTGACACTTTTGTGTATAGGATCGAGGCAGAGATAACTCTAGTCCTAAGGATGACTTGGCGGCCTTCAAAACCACTCCATTTCCATGGAGGACAATGAACGTGGACTCGTCCACTCACTTTCGGGTGGAGAAACAAGATTCTGAATCAGCTTCAGTAGCCAGCCGAAGCAAATCCCAATTCTTTCGGGATACTATCGGACTCACTGGTTCCATAGTTGTTGTGGCAGGTGGCGCGATTACCCTCAGCATCTTGGCCTTCCTCATCTTTCTTTGGTTCGGCGAAGGGACAGGTGATGGCGAGAATGCGCCATCGATCTGGCGCTGGATAATTCTCGGCCAATGGATAACGCAAGCCATCACTCTTTCAACTGTTGCTATTCGCATAGCTATTACATCACAGGCATCTCTCTTCACCAGCCTCATTGCCTCAGTGATGTTAGAGAGACACGGGGTTCCATTATCTCGTATTGCCGAAGTATCTCTGATTCGGGCCTCGAATGATGGACCACTGCGGTTGGCTTATCTACTTTTGACGTCGGTCCGAAAATCACTGCTGCAGGCTCTCCTTATATTGTTACTCTTGTTTACATCGTTTGCTATTCAATTCGCGTCCACACTTTTGGTATCCGACCTGGCGTCTTCAACTCTTGTCAATGACCCACGCAATGACCGCATGCCAGTATTCATGACCACGGAGTTGATCTCATTGAATCATCAAACGAATAACTGGCTCGGGCAACCTACCGCTTATACCCATTTTGGCCAAGTCTCAGCAGACGTCGACCCTTCACCTAACGGCACCGGTGTGAGTGATACTGGGGCGGTTCGTCGAGTATTTCTCCCCGTAGCTGCCGAGGATAGAGCTAGTCTTCGGCGCTATCAAGGTAAAGCCTTCACTTTCAACTCGAGAATGATCTGTGTCAGACCTGTATTAGAGATGGTGCTTTCTTTGTTCGTCCCACTTGCGAATACATCCACAATCCCTTTTTATCTCCAAGCAGTGGGAAATATCTCTTATGGCACAACCTTCGCTGAAGCTGGCTTGAACCTACCACCTAATTGCGATCAAGGAAAGTGCTTCCCGTCGACTTTCAACTGCTCGCTTCCACAATTCCAGTTATCATCTACACAGGCAATGCAGGGCTTTACCGACAGTATTTGCATACCAGACGGTGATTACTTTGCATCAAGCGCCAAAAATTTCAGCTTGTCTGATAGCCCCATTCCTGATTACGCCGCAATGATCTTATTTTTCAGGAGCAATGGAACCTACAATCTCTGGCGAGGTCCCAACCTGCAGGGTGATATTCCCACATATCTGAGCGGCAATTTCCGCCTCCGAGACGAACCATCTAGCCATGGAGAATGGATCACATATAATCGCACCATCGGAGGCTTATTTGGTGATGAGATGATAACAAACGGAGTGCTTAGACTGGACACATCTATGTGCTTCCAGCAGGTTGCTTTTGATTTCTCTGACGTCAAACTTGCCACGGCCAATGACTTAGTCGAGCCGTCCGTGACCTGGGATCCTGTCGCAAGGTCCTGGAACACAAGTTCTGTTCGGGCCATGCTTGGAGTGCTCAATGCCACATCTTACAACATGTCGAGCCAGGGAAGCTACACTGTAGAGTCAATTGAGAACTCGGCTCATCTTAACACGTCACAATTCTTTACTAACAAAATCATCAACAACATCTACAACTCCCCAAACATACAAAACACTTCTCTATTTATGGATACACAAGGAAGTGGGCGTTCTCATATTCAGCCGCATATCGAGTACCAGGCGATTTTTCAGGATACACTGAACACCACCAATCAACCAGGTGTGGCGATGCAAGCGACCCTCACTGCTCTCTCTGGCTCGATTATCAACGAAGCTATAGCACAATTCGATGGGCAGGAGGATGTAACGATAACCTCTTCAGTCGTGGTTCTAGCTCCACGGCACTTCCGCGGCCTGATTGCTGTTGTTGCACTTATCGCCGTCAACATGCTGTGCGGCATCGTCATCACGATTGAGTTTCTGTTGCATACCCGTTATTCAAGTCAGGGCAATTACTGGCATGCTGTCTCGCAGATCATTTCAGAGCATACCGCCTGGATTCTAGAAGACTCAACACAATCTACAGATGATGTAGTGGCAGAGCGCCTGAAGGAGTTTGACCCAGAAGTCAAAATAACCTTGTCGAAACGGTGTGGAAGAGTGCAGCCGGTGATGCAAGGCTACAAGACCTAGATAGCGGGATAGCGCACCACAAGGAAATACAAATCATAAAAGTGTAAGGAAAGTTACATAATCTGTGCTTAACCGCGATATGTTCGTATTTGCTACCATGCATCCCATAAATAGCAAGGGAGCCCCTGACCTAATCAAGACAGACCAGTGAGGCCGAAGTAGGTAAGGACCTTGCATGACATTGCCTCTGAGGTGCGTTCGGCCGATGCGGATTTGCGGATTTACAGCCGAATTTTTTACACGCTAAAAAGAACAGTCTAGATCATGATTTTACGCATATGATGTTATAGGGCTTGGAGAATGACCCATGTGTCTCATGATCAGCGGCGACCGAACGGTGGCCGATGATGATGTCGTGCTCTAGAAGACCCAAACGAGGTCTTATCCGGTGGAATTGGGTCCGGGATGGGATGGGCTTATAAATGGGGTCAACATGCCCCGCGAATTTGCCGCAGTAGGCTGGCCGAGTATTTTCACTATCAAGGCACCAACAAATCATGGCTTCTCCTGACTTTGAAGCGGCCATCAAAACCGCTTGCAACGAAAAAAAGATCGCCGGTGCGGCTCTTTCAGCTATATACAAGACAAAGAATGGTATTTGAGACTTGAACTTTGAGCAAAATCAATATCCGTACTCGCCCTAACGGTCTATAGGTACGAAAAGGTACACGAACGCAATTGGGCTGGAGTCACTGGTTCCCAACGCTCCTCCAATGAGCCTGGATAGCCTTCTGTGGATCGCATCATGCACCAAGGTTGCTGAGCAGAAGACATGATATATCGTATATTGGCTAACCGTCTACAGCTGCTGACGGCTATATCAGCTTTACAGCTAGTTGAACGTGGTCTCATCAGCCTCGATCAACCCCTCTCGTCTGTGTTAACGGAATTCAAACCTCCAATCCCCATGGTGTCGCCTTCCGCCCAAGCCGGAGGGCTGCCAATTGTGACATCGACTGATGAGCCTTTGACCCTGCGTCGCCTCTTGACTCATACATCCGGAATTGGGTACGAACATGCGGGTGCAATTCTAGAACAATGGCGACAGACCCTCCCGGAGAGTTCCGCCCAGCACAGTTCAAAAATCCCTCGAAATAGAACTATCACACTGGACTATCTGTATCCTTTGCTATTTCAACCCGGTGCTCTTGGCAAGTGGGAGTATGGCGCTGGTGTGGACTGGGCTGGCCAGGTCGTCGAGCGTGTAAATCCCGAAGGGTTGACTTTAGGGCCGTATATGGAGAAGTATATTTGGGGACCATTAGGAATGAAAGACACTACATTTCGTCCTCGCCAGAATACGAAGTTGGCACAGAAACTCATCCAGCGAGTCGAGAGGCTTGATGATGGCGGTATTGCATTAGATCCTATGGAACGTTTCCCACACATAGACCCCGTTGACGAATCAGGAGGTGGTGGCCTGTACAGCACGTCACGGGATTACATCAAGGTGCTTGAGTCTCTCCTGTTGGATGATGGGAGGCTCTTATCGAGTGAGATGGTCAGCGAACTGTTTCGCCCACAGCTCCCTGATTCACCGGATTTGCAGGAAAAACTGGCATTCAGCAACGATGCCGAGGTACTTACCATGGAGACAGATATAGTGGGACCACATATCGTGAAATGGAACTACGGTCTTGGAGGATTAGTGGCAATGGATAACATTCCAGGCAAAGGCAAAGCCGGGATCATGACCTGGTCTGGTCTACCGTGCTGCTTCTGGGTATGTTCATGATATCCGATTCTCGATTTCGCGGTGCTAACACATGATAGTGGGTTGACCGTACGAACGGCACTGCTGGGTTCTATGGCAGTCAGATGTGGCCACCCTGGGATGAGCAGACAAGGCGGCTGTGCGCCAAGTTCCAGAAAGGAATATGTGATCTGCAAACATTAGGGGACTGATGAAAAATAAGTGTATCCAAGCAGAGATATCTCTTGTCACAACTAGACTGCATAACCGCCAGATGCCACTTGTCTTGGCTCTCCTGCTGCTTCAAAGGTTCCATTTGGGAGCCTCCGGAGTCCTTGAGCCGAGCTTTGGCCAGGAGCAACCCATGTGACATTGTGTCCGAGTGACTTCATGTAAGCTGTGGTGCTATTGTCGTACGCATATTCAAAGGATATCAGGTTAGGTATTAGCTGGTCATGGAAACGTGGTTGAGCTAGCGCCTCATGGGAGGCCATCTTCTGATCCAGTATATGATGAATGTTTTGGATGGTACTTGTTATGATACGACTGCCTCCTGCTGCACCAATGGACACGTATAGCTTTCCATCTGGCGTTTCTATGATTGTCGGGGAGATGGACGATAACGGTCGTTTGCCGGGTCGAATGAAGTTTGCTGGGCTGGGTTCATAGCCGAAGGCATTAGAGGAGCCCGGGATACTGAAATCATTCATTTCGTCGTTCATTATCACACCGGTCTCGGGCACCATTAGTTGTGACCCAAAGAGTAAATTGACGGTTGTCGTTAACGATACAGCCATGCCACTCGCATCGGCTGTGACGACATGCGAGGTGCCGGGTGTCTCGAGTGACTCCAAACCAGATGGATCATACCAGGACACATTCTGTGTCTTAAAATCTGATATTTTGGAGCGTATTTCAGCCGCTGTTTCGTCCGATAGCATCTGCTTCTCGTATTCCGCAAGCCCATCTACAAAGGATGGATCCCCAAGATTCGTCCGTTCGCCGTAGGCAAACCGAATAGCCTCATCCAGGCGGTGGGTAGTCAAATTGACCATGGTCGGATCACCAAAGCCTTCATAGCCACCAACAGTGTTCAATGCGCTAAGGGCAACTATACCGCCAGATGGGGCACTGCAGCTTGTTAGTTTATATCCCCTGTAGGTGATGCGCGCCGGCTTTCTGATAGCCACAGTGTAGTTGGCAAGGTCCTCCAAGGTCATCGTTCCATTTGCCTTTTGCAATGCTGCAATGGTCGCATTGGCGATAGCGCCTGTGTAGAACGCGTCGGCGCCTTCGTCTGCAATGACCTCGAGGGTATCGGCGTAGCGTTTCCGAGTCATTGTCTCGCCCAGCTTCACCCGGTAGCCGTGCGGGGCGAAGTCGATCGCCCACGTTGGATCATCGGTCAAAAACTTGCCATTCGGCGTGACGGAATCCATGTATCGGACAAGGTCTGCCGTCACCTGGAAGCCATAGCGGGCAACCTTGATTGCGGGGGCCAATACTGTTTTCCAGGGCAAAGCGCCGTAGTTCTTGTGGACATATTCCATCCCCCTCAGCTCCCCAGGAACGCCACTGCCGTCAGTGTTAGTGCTTCGGTAACGTACGATACAGTGCCATCATTCAACTCCCAACTCACCTTGCAAGCCCGCCATACAGGCTAGCATCTGTGTTATTCGTGTACATTCCCTCGAAACTCGCTGCTGGGGCTGTTTCTCTGAAGTCAACGAACTCAAAAGAGCCATTGCTCGATCTGAGAATGAGGAATCCACCTCCACCCAGCCCGCTATGATACATGCCTATCACGCCGATGCAAAAGACCGTGCCAACCAAGGCGTCGACGGCATTGCCTCCATCTTGAAGGAGCTTTGTCCCAATCTTGCTGCACACTGAGCTTTCTGAGGCAACGGCACCTAGCTTTGGCGTGTTGCAGGTTGTTGGCTTACAGGACGCGAGCTGATGATAAAGGAGAGTATGAACAAGTGGTATCAGTAACCTCACTATCCTGACCATATTCGCGAACCATGTAGGAGCTGGGTGAAGAAATGACGATGCCTCTTCATATTTGTGGGGTGTTCAGTGGTCTTTATACATATTTAGGACCCTCCACATAACCGTCCCGGTTCCAAGGGTGTTCATATTGTAGAGGGCTGTGAGCTCATCAGATTTCCACCTTGCAATACGGAGCGCGACCTCGCATTGGGCAAAGCGAGATTCAACTGCTGTGTGATTACACAACCGGTGCGTTCCAACCAGGATAATGGGTTGGATTCAAGTCAAGATCGGCGGGGCTTATCACCGCTATCAGGTCCGAGTCCAGAGTGCTCGGTGCGAACCAGCCCAAGACAGGCAGCTAAAATAACTAATCTATACCCCATCATCCAGCAATATCAGCCACCCTTCCGCGCTAATACGTCGCAATGTAACCATATGAGTTAGATAAATAATCAAGAAAGCCTTTGAAGATCAGTGTGAAATACCATTCCAGCAGAATCATAGCCACTCCTAGCCAGTCCATCAGCAGCATTCATCATCGTGCGCATTGAAGGACCCAAAATCTAAGAGCTTATACGAGACAACTTTATCCACGTCAATGTCAAAATCCACTTTGAAGGTGAGGCGGGGATGAATGTGACGCGCAGGCGTCAGCGCCCTATTTATCCAGCTCAAAAAGCTCGTAAACTTGTGCCGACTGACCTTGACGAACTGTCATCAGGATCACTTAATCACTTGGAACCATGTCTCACTGGGTTCAATCCCCATGAGCTTCATGTAACTCCGCCGTAGGCACCGCTTAGTTTCTCGACCGTCCCGTGCAGATAAGAATACAACAAATCACTATCAAAACCTAGAATCTTTATATCCGAGCTTGACAGTTCATGAAAAGCTGCCAGGGACTGCACCGCAAGTGCCAGCGTAGATGTCGAGAAGTTCCAGCGAGACACATGCTTTGTGAACCTTGAGGTCATGAATTGTGAAGGCTGCGCCAACGCCACTCTTGAGCAATGGCCATGCGTTGTGGGAGAGTACACGATAGCTTGATTCATCCATTAGATTGAGACCTGGAGAGATCAATACCTTCTTCCCTTTAGACTTTAATGGAGGCGTGGGCAGTGGGATGATATGCTCAGCTCTAGCACAACTTACATCGCAGATCTCCTCAATTAGGAAAGGGAATATCTTGCACCAGAGTACCATCTCTCCTGCGGGGCTTCATCACAGGTAGCACGGACCGTCATATCATAAGGACCATCGACTTCAATGACAGACACCCTGTCATCCTCAAAGGTACGTATTCGTGATGCACAATTTTTTGAGGTACAAAAACGTGTACGTTTGTATAAAGAAAAGCCCTCATGCGAGCAATGGTGTAGCCAAGGTCTCCATCTCTAGCAAAGATAACTTGGTTGGCATCTCAGTCAATGCCTCATACAGTGGCCACTCTCCGAAGGCAGATCTAGCTTCTTCACCGTTACACATATATCCATATGAATGTAAGCCGATTTATTCAGAAACTTGATTATAAGAGTTATCTAGATTATAATATGTGCTAGATATTGTTTGTATAATTGCATTTCTCTGTTCTCGTGGATAATAAAAACGTCTACCATTCTTGAAGACGCTTTGTTATATGCTTAACGTAAGTTTCATCGGACCTGGCTGCAAATCCCACATACTAGCCAAGTTTACGACTTGTCCAATGACGGGAAACTACGAGTCTCTGACCATTTCATCCACAAAAACGATGTCAGGAAGGGCTTTATCATATTCTCCAAACATTGTTAACTCCTTGTTGATTCTTCTCAGACATAGGCTCGCTCATCGTACAACGCAGACAAAATCATGTATATGCAGCTGTAGGGACACTTACACCCTCAAATATGTGATAGGAAATCTAAAATATTTTGGACACCAATGGAATACGAGAATTGTATTCAAAGAGGCCCTTCTGTTGGATTGACTAGATAAACGCGCTAAATAAAAGCCTCTTATATACGGTTGTTGTTTCTTAAAAAGTATTTTTCAGATTTTTCTACCAGAATTTTCTTCACGATATTATTGAGTCTGACGCTATTTGCAGATGGAAATATTGTAATATTGCTCTTAATAGAGCATGGTAGGTGATGAACTGGCCATCGTTCAAGGGTTCTAATACTATCAATATTGATATAGGCTTCAATGATACACAGAAAATACATCGCAATCTAGGTTACTATGGATTAATTCTTAGAATGGCTGAGACATCCCTAAAGGATACAGATTACAGTGCTTAATCTTTTAGTGGCCAAAGGAAGTGAATCGACGGTTGAGTGTCAAGAAAACGCTGGATTACGAAGAGGCGCGACACCAATGTCGTTCATTTACGCACTAGAACCACTACTCATTTTTCACATTTCATAGATGTATGATGCTTCTGTAGATTGTTTGTTCTCAATTCTCGATGTTTTAATGTCTCAGTTCTAAGCGGCAAGCGGGCTCTAATTTAGTGCTTCTTCTGGCTTATGTTGGATCATGTGGTGATTCATTGTCGCGTCAAGACCATATCATGTCGTCATGGACGAGCAGAGGCTAGGCCAGGACTAAGACAACAAATGCGGAACACAGAGACAGTATTAGAGTCGCTGGACATAAATTATCGTCTTCCCATCGATAATTTGCGGCGAAGTTCTGTGACCCTAATATCTTCGGGCCGCTTCTCAAGCTTTACAATCACGCAAGAAAACGTACAGTATATATACAATTATTCGCGATGTCTTCGAAGTATTCTACCGACGATGGCCCTAATGGAGATGTCTCCGACAATTCTTATGTTTCACGAGATAAGAAGGAACCTATCGGCGTGCAGGCAGATGACGCCCCTGTCGATGGCGGCATAGACGATCAGGCAGCCGACACAGATGAGCAATTGAGTGAGACCTACTCTTGTCGTGACAATGGATAATCGTTGATAATATTGATGTTAGCTCGCGACGATGCCGACGCCATAGATGAGTCCAATATCATTTCCGGAGATAAGACTCGTCACGCCAAACCAACTGGATCTTATCGAGAGCCTGGGGACGATGAAGGTTTGCCGGATGACACGGGACGGAGTGACGCAAGTACAGCGTGATTCCAAGGTCGCAAAACAGGCAATACGGTCTATCAGTGCGCTACATATTTTATTTGAAAACGTTAAGAAAATGTTAATTGATGTTTTTTTGATTATGTCAAATGTAGCAATGCCTTGACTTGATCTCGTTATGAAGGGTTAGGTTAATTACGAAAGATGTTATCACAAGATGCATGCTTGACAAGTATATCTACCAAAACACAACTGATTTTGGTGACAAGTCTCTTGGATCAGATAACCTGCGAATAACGGGTGTTGTAGGCCAACTCCGCCCTCGCTAGACTGATGCTTGTACAGATTCCTTCTATCTTCCTCCAAGAAAGCCTTGGCTTCAATGATAGCCTTGACAGGGTCCACAAACCATAGGACAATCAAGCCAAGTGTACACCAAGGGAGGAGAAAGGCGAACCCGGTGTTCGAAGGGTTTGATTGGCCATCAACCCAGACCAAAGTCCCGGCTAGAAGATTCTGATCATAGTGATGGATTAATCGAGTCAGGGGAGGGTTTCTAAGGGTTGCTGGGTATGATGCCCAAGAAAGGGCAAGGTCTATTGCGACATCGGTGGTATCAGCCCCGAGCCAGACAGGGCGGTCTCTGCTTTGAACTATTCGATCCTGGTAGTCGTCACTTTCATCATGCAAAAGCCTACCAGCACTACTTTTAAGAAAGAACTGTCATTGTGGTCATCTGAGCCCGATAAAGAGCTTCGGGGTGGAGTCCGGGCATCAGACGGTGAGCTCGTATGCCCGTATGTGGTAGCCGGGGTGTCCAGTCCTGCAAGTCTTCCCCGACTGGCGATGCCTTGACCCCATTTAAGTCCAATTCCATATCCAGGGCACTCGAGTTCGTGGACTTCGCATTTCTTGCAAAAAGGAATGCTCCTGTCGCATCTTATCCGTCGCATATTGCAAACTCGGCAGTCTTGACCATTAGTAGAGCTTCGTGCTATCGAGCTTGAACATACTCACCGCTCTGCGCTTGAGGAGCTTTTCAGATCCAAGGACGACATGCGCACGTTCATCCTTGACTCCAATGGAGCATGTCGGTGGTGGCGGAACACAAAACAGCTCATTATCCAGAGCAGCAATCAGGGTGTCTTCGATCAAGAGCTAGGGGGATGAGTTGAGGCTCTGTGACGCTGTCAATACATTCTATCATTGCTAGGCGAGAATCCTCTAATCAAAAAAGAGCCACTGACCGCTTTGTTGATTGCGGGATGAAGTGAAGAAGGGAGAGTCCAGGGGTTTCATGAGGAATCGAAAATCGCCCATGTTAATGCTACATAAAGCTGCCACTTTTCCACCAAACCCAGCTGAAGCGGGGCTACCCTCCTCAGTTCGTCACTCATGTGTGCCGACCTCCAGGGCACAACGCGGAGACCTTGATAAGCTCGCGCTGACTTTGCATTAGCTATTACGGAATGACTTATGTAGACTAAATAATGCACCACTTCGATTTCCGTTTACAGGAAGAGAAGGAAAAGCTTATAGAACGAGTCCTTAGCATTCTTCAGTTTTCGAGTCTATGTGTATGACATCATTGTCGTGGCTAACGTTTATCTAAAGATTCAGG